TGCATTTCCCTTTTGAGCCAGATCCTGCAGAGCTGGCATGTTGCTTTCACAGTCAGCCTACGTTTTAGCAGCAGTCTCCATTTACACCGTCTGCCACTTGACTGTTAAGGCTGAAACATACAGAATCTCTGCTTTATAAAAAGCACAGCTGAAGYCAAGATATTGCAAAGAAATACATATATTTTACTCCTTTATTTAATGTTCAGAAAACACCACAGTRGTGGATTCAATGTGCAACACATTAACACCTCCTCAAATTCATGTCAATGTAATTCTACAGGCTAGATTAGTATACTGACTCATCTCTAAATGTAGTGTTTTAAGTAAAAAGAGCCATGTGTTATTTTTGTTCATCAGTTCTACATAATCTTAGTTAAGAGAAGTAACAAATGTTATCTTGTCTATAAATGTCAGAATACTGGTACCCGTTTGTGCCACATTAAAATATTTGCCTTTCCTCAATTATCAGTACTTTAAAAATATATTTGTTCTTCAATATATTTTCTTTAGCTTGCAACAATTGCTTTAAAGTTCCCATTTAAAGTTTAGAATTCTTCCTTGAAGCTACAAAGAAATCAGTGTTAATTTTGTTAAATTAAAATAGTTTACATTATTTGCAAATTAACTAGAGGTATATGGAAAGTGAAAAGATAGAMAAATTAATCTTGTTCTTTGCTCTTGACTGTGCCATCCCTTAGGAACAAATATTTGATTGGGATTTTTTTGAAGTCAAACTCATTAACATTCAAGAACAGAGACCTGGACTTCTCCCTGAGGGAGCTGTGGATTATTTTTGCTGTGGCAGGAGATGGCTTAAACTGYCTGCATTTCCACCATAGCTTCCACCTGCTCCCTCTCATAGAGGATATTTAAAGATCACATATAAAAAAAGATGGTAATCTTTAAAAAAATACTTTATTCTTTATTTACAGCAGAGCAGTTATTTTTTTATTTTTTCATAGCATCTGACAGAGGACCAAACATACCTGTCAGGATATAAACAGCAGTTTTGCTATGTATAAAATGTAAGAAATTTTGGACAATTATCCATCAATTCATCTGTTCATCAGTCCATCCATTTTCTGTATCTACTTAATCCTGTTACTGGTCTATGGTTATGGTGAGTGAGGATGGATAAAAAAAATCCATATGAGCCTTTAAAGGGGCAATATTATGTGTTTCTCAGGCATTTAAATACTATACCATAATAAAGTATATGTGTCACCTTTAGTTGTTATTAAAATGCTGTTTTTATGTTTAAATAGAAAATAAAAGTATCTTTTCATCACTTCCTCTTCTAAACGCCT